CCTTAAAACACACACACACACACACACACACACACACACATGCAGCATAAACATGCAGAAAAGATAGCTGTTAGATAATGTCAGAAGAGATCCTGGATGAGGATTGCCTCTTCATCATTAACCATAAAGCATATGCACAGACAGTTGGGCTACAACTTTTTGAGTTAAAAAAAAGATTTTGTGTTTGTTTCCTTCAGAATCTTCTGACATAACTCTGATTTGATGTATTGTGCRTTAGAAACATCTAAATGAGATTAATCTAAACTCCAAATGTCTCTCTTTGTCTTTATCAGAGCCGGGATCCACAGCTTCAGTTGTCGCTGGAYAGTTATGCTTCTGTTTTCTCTGTATCAGCCACTGGAATAAAACGATAYCTCACTCTGGGGCAACCTGTAGACAGAGAGACCCAAGACTCCTACACATTCAAGGTATGGTTGCACGCTGACAGTTTTGTGCATTATTTACCAAATTTGCATTTGGAGTGGAGGAAGGGAGAGCTAAGTCTACAGTCTTGAAATTAGTTTTTTTTTTTCTAAAAAAAAAAGGACTGAGATGACACATGAGAGGAGTGTGTGTGTATGCATGGCGCCAAAGATGAAAGTAAAGGTGAACTACTGAAAAAATGGGAGAGCGAAGGGTTACAAAGAATACAAAAAATGAATTTAACATTGTGGGAGAGAACAAAAAAGAGCAGAAAAAAAACGTCTGCAATGTAATTCTTTTTAAAATCTTGAGTTTTACTCAGCTTTTGTTTTTTTTTTTAAGGGTTATCTATTTTAGATTGTCTGTCATTCCCAAGCCTGGTGTAAGTATTAAAAATGAATTAGGAAATTTAAGAAATTCTACAAAAACAGTTCTGTATATCATTAGTGTCTGAACTCAGGAGCCACACTCAAAGCATAAATAGCAGCTCTTCTTTCCACAACAATAAGGAAAGACCCTGCATTAAAATAGCACTTCTCTTCAAATAAATTGGAAAAATCTAGTGACATAAATTTCAACAAGTTTGGTTCATTCTTCACATGAGCTAATTAATAACTTTTAAGTGGTGAACACAAAATACTTTAGTTTTARTTTGAGTGAATTGACTTTTGAACTAAATTCCCACCGCTAACTAATTTGTATTAATTTATATACAGTATGTTTTTATCATTAATTCAATTCAATTCAATTCAAAAATACTTTATTGATCCCAGAGGGAAATTTGGTGTTGTAACTCAGTTAACCAAAATCTTATTGTAGATGCTGATGGC